GACACTCCCTAAAATCATGGAAGATTGGAAATGAATCTCCAAGATGCCTATAAAGAGTTTCTCGGGCTGCGAGTCCACGTAGGACTGATTCAGGCCGTCGATGTTGTCTGGGAGCGGCGATAGTGGGGTATGAGGCTACTACCTATAGGGCATATCATCTTTAGGACTAGCAAAAACCTGCCCGCTCTCTTCAACATACCGTCTTAAATCTAATCATCACAATAGGAACTCTAGTTCATCGTATTTAACTGCCGCTCATGGTTTGCGTTTGCAAAGGACTAAGGCTAGCAGTATATACCCCACCCACTCATTACCTTGCAATGCCAATTCAAATGGGTCGACCAAGGTCTTTCTTCACAGCACATCTGTGCAAAACTCGAGTGCAACGCCACTATGAATCCCACCGGCCACAGTACCAGAAAATGGTTCTTGAGGCAGAGGGGGGCATAGCCTTGATCTACTTCATTCTTGCTGGATTTTTCTCCTGGCTTTTGCTGGCCGGTTTCCTTATTTCCCCATCTACGTACGCCTCGGTCCGTGATTTGGAAGTGCCTGCAGGGGTAGGAAAATCCATTTTCGACACCGTTCGCCATCTGCCACTCGCAATCATCGCGTCCGTAGCATGCGCTTTGGCGACAATCGGCATGCTTCTGCTTTGGTGGATATGGCGTCATAACTATGTTTGGATATGTCGCTGTCTTGTCGTGTGCGTGTTTCATTTGCATTTGTGACAAACTGGCCTTCTCTAACATCCCTCTAGCCCTACGTTCCTTCACTCTATGACGGGATTTTTCTCAACCTTGGTGAATGTTTACTCTGTGCAAGACGGACAATGGTCAATCACTGCCTGTATTAGCGGTGTGGTGTCTGGGGTGTGGATGCTACTATCTGTGTCTGTGTATGTTTTGTATCAGGTTCTATTGCGAAACCTGGATTAGGAGGGCTATATTTGCGTGTGGTGGACATAGGATATTACTGTATTTTAGGAGAAAACGAATGTATAGGATAGGCCATGTGATTAAACACCTCAAAATACCCGTTAGTGATTTAATTCAGTGACAATTGTTCCCGTCGTAATCCTTAGAGAAGCACCAACGTGTCATAGATAGGTTGGATTGACTTGTATTTTGAAGGCATCATTAATTGGGCACAAGCTCACAAGCCTGGCTGGCGTACTAATGATGTGCACATTCAACTGCCTAGCTATAGCAGGACTCTACTGACAGCAACGGGTTTGACAAGCTCCGGGACCTAGGATGGGAGATACAATTCCGATGGATCCCAGCACATGTCGGAGTGCCTGGCAACGAGGCAGCCGATAAAGCAGCCAAGGAAGCTACTGGATACGATCCAAGCCAACAAACCTCGGTGGACCCTCCTCAAGAACCAAATTGGCTTCAAACTCTCACTGCCACCACGAAATCTATCATTCGCACAACGATGAAGGAGGAGTGGAAACAGTCATGGGTTAAGGCCAAGCATGGGAGAGAACTCTTCCGACTTGGAATCCGGCCAGGAAAGAAATCATTAAACACCCATACAGATAAACATAGAGCGATCAGCTCCGTGATCACACAGATGCGGACAGGCAAAATAGGCCTCCTGGCCTACCTCCACGGAATCAACAGAGCGGACACCGACAAATGCCCATGCGGATATGGGACCCAAACCGTACGACATATCCTCCTGGAATGCCGTGACTGGACAGAAGAAAGAGTCAAGATGTGGGCAGGCAAGCGACCATATCAAGCGCATTCTCTGTAGCTCGTCAATGGCGGTACAAGCAGCTAAGATGATCCTCAGGACTGGCTTGCTCGGTCAATTCCAGGCAGTGCCATCCACGGTACTCCAATATACGCAATCTGCGTAACGTAGACGAGTGATTATTGTTAAACAGAAGTCGAGGAGGGCCGGGAAGGGCCCGACATGTTCATAGATACAGAACAGCCATGAGGACTATCCGTACCGAGGTGGCCGCCTTCAAGCGGAAGGGAAAGCAGTTCGGACAAGGAACGGCTTAATTCTCAGAGTGTGAAACGGACACTATTGTATGTTTAGTCGAACGCTGCATAGCTGCTTAAGTGGCTGGGACAGTCGATGAATTAATAAATAAATAAATAAATAAATAAACGGGTCTGTGGCCTCCTCGGTGGACAAGGCAACTGGGCACGCTGCTTAAAATACCAGCAACCAGGCTGAGCACCTTGTGTATTAGGGCAATGGGGCAGACGAAGTTACGACCAACTTAGGAGCAATGCTACCAGCAGCAGTAACACCAATACCATTGTTGCCAGGGCTGCCAGTAACAGCCTGGGCCAGATGACCAGTAACCTTGGTGGCTCAGGTACTGGTATGACGCCGCTACCAGCAGGCCAGTGGCGCAAGTTGCTAGTATTCTCTGCCTACCAGTATCCCGGACAGGCAGGTTGATGGTAACTGCGGTGTACCAGTAGCGAGTGTAGTAGGGCTGCTGGTAGTGGCCGGCTACTGCCAGTGCTTATGTGCAACGTGCTGGTAGCGGCCTGTAGACGCTCATGAGCTACTGGCAGCTGTGTTGGCAAGCTACTAGCAACTAGTGGAGTCTGCAGTTCACCGTCCTTGAGGTACTGGTAATTTGGCGGCGTACGTGCCTGGCCCCACCGGAATTTAACTGGTGTGGTTACCAGTCACTTCGAGATGCGCCACAGCGGTTACTGGCATCCTTCCATTGTGCATTGGTAGGTTACCAGTCACGACATTTAGGCAAGCTACCAGCATAAATGGCTACCTGTAACAGCCATGTAAAAAATGCTGGTAGCGCTTAAGTGCTGGTAACAAGGGCAACGCGACTACTGGTACCTCTCGACTACCAGCAGTAGCACGTCAGCGGTTACCAGCACACTAGGATACCAGCAGTCAAACCTGGTTGATTACCGGCACCTATTGGGGGGGAAGTTGTAGGTGCTAGTAGCCCATGTCGCAAGTTAGTGGTAACCTTGGCCCCCCTAGATGTCCGATTAGCGGTTGGTGGTAGCTCTAGGCGCCTTGTTGCTGGTACCTGCAGTAGCTACATGATTGGGTCAAACGCACTAGGAACAATGAAGTAGTCGCTGCCAGTATTTTAAGCACGTCTGCGAGACACCGCGGCACTGCCCTGCAGCTGGGAGCTCATAACCATCAGTTGCTCTCTCACATTCGCCTCGGAATATATCAGCCACTACCATAAAATGTATCAAAGATCGTTCAATTAAATGAAAGGACGCTTCAGAAACACTAAAGCATGCGCATTCAGACTATCGACTGACACCAATGCACTATAAGCTAACTAGCGAAACTGCCTAACGCGGCAGATATTACTTGATTACCTGGATACAAGAAGGTAAGTATCGTGTGCTATTTCAATGAGAGGATTTGTGGCAGAAGTGCGTAACCACCGAACCGAAGTTTCAAAACTGAGGGCCATTTCTTTCGTTTGCTTCAATCCTTTCCATCAACTGCGGACTCAGAAACTCATCGTATACCCACGTATCCTCTTTAGACGGCCGACCATGCCAACGTAAAAGGTGTTGGCGTCTTCCAGCTCTCTGTCGGGCTTTCAAAACGTCCACGCCCGCGTCAAAGCCTCGCCAACTTGCCTCAAAGCTATTCAGCATTCCCTCGTCCATGATGTGTTTTCTCGGCTCCCACGTCGTGGTGGCATCAGACCATTTCACCAGGAAAGTGTGTCGCCTCCACCGAGCAAGCAGGCAATCCATTTGGTAAACGTCGGGGCAGGCACTTGGATATTTCACCTTTCCGGTTTTAGGTCTCCGATCCTCGAGTTTGTTTGGTGTCTGGTGACCTTTTGGGGCTGGATCGTTCTGGGCAACTAGCGTATTCCACAAAATGTCACTGGTAAATTGTAGCTGGAACACCGCGGTGCCATTCTCTCTTGTGCAACTTAGGACCGGCTGGCCAAGTGGCCATGCCTCGTGGCTGGCAACACCGGAACGAACAGGCGGTTTTTTGTTTGCAACAGACTCGTTGTCGTTGCATTTCATCGTATTCCTCAGAAGGCGTGCGTCTCGATTTCGCGTCAGGTCCGAACGTAGGTCCGAACGTTGCTGTGAATTACGCTTCTTGGGCTGACGGGACACAAGCTTGCGACGCTTGCGTTGTGGCGTAAGCTTTTCGTTAATCCCGCCGTCCTTTTGTTCCGCGGTGAGTTGCCTTTTGGGAGGGAGACGGCGAAGGTTGTAAGCTTTTCCGGAACCACGACGACTAGTTAGCCGCTTTTCCGTTTCTTCGTAGGGTTCATCCAGCTCGCTCGCTATGTCGTCTGCATCGATGCTTGTCTGACGCTCGTCGTCCCGTCCTCGACCAGTTGGCGACGAGCTAGGGCAAGAACCCAGGGGCAAAATATCATCAGGGGCTTGGTGTTTCTGAATGGGCTCTGTCAAAGCTCCTCGATACGAGACTAGGCGGCTGCATTCCGACGGAAGTGTTTTGACTGAGGCAGGTCGAGCTACACAGGGCAGTTCGTTGTCGCTTCGCGGAACTACTTCACCCGTATGGCCATGGCCAGTATTAATGCTATGAGCTTGGACGAACTGGTTTGAAAACAGGGCACTGCATTTCTGCGATTGAGAAGGCTTGACGAGGTTGGTCGCCGATGGAAGCCGGGGCTGGGGGGAAGGCTCTGTTTTCTCATGGTGCAGTTCTTCATCCCTCGGAAGCAGCGCAGTTGTGGACTGCGCTGACCAGCACTCGGAGGCCTCTGAGACGACACAAGGTCTTCGTATAGGAGTGGGCAACACCAGGCCTACTCCATTATCATCATGTTGTATTGGCGAATGCAGCAACACGTTAGAGTCGGCGGTGACCCCCGGGCTGTCGAGAGCTCTTGAGACGAAAACCACCTCTGTTGACGGGTTTGAGATTGATGAATTGGGACTTTCCAGCTCATCTGGTAAGCAAAGATCCTGAGATGAACTCCCTGGGATCGTGTTAGGCATTGCCGGACATTGGAATCTAGTTTGCGATTACTTACCGGTTGCTTCTGTTGGATCATGTCTGACGCTAATCAAAGACGCCACAATCTCAGAGATAGAAGGAAGCGAGTCGTCAGGATGTTGATTGTGTACCAAGTTCACGCGCGGGACATCTTGTCCCAACACTTCGGCATCACTATCTGTGTCAGACTCGGAATCGGACGGGATCGATATCACATCATCCAAAGTCCACGGACGATCAAGAAAGGAACAAACTCCCTCAGTTTGTGCCATCATGTGGGTATGGTGTAAAGGAGGACTTCTAGAAAGTCTGCGAGGTTGAAGCTATGGAGGTGAAAGCACATGAACTCGGTCAGTCCGTCCGTGTGCTAACATAGAGGTGAGGGAGCCCTACCCACCTCCTGGCAAAGTTGCTGGAATCCAAGGTAGGACCACCGGCGTCACTTGCAAAACGAGGAAGGCGAAATTGTGAGGAATGATGAAAAAAGGTCAAAAAGTTTCACGCAGCATCGTAGGGGGCGGACCCCTTTATATACCCGTTCGTACTCGACCTCACGTACTACGTACCTCTGCTACCAATGCCTCGTCATGCCTCTAAATCTCCGCTCATGCGGCCATGCGGCCTGTGAGATAAGTTTATGGTGCTCCTCATTGGCAATATCATCCTCGCTTGTGTTTCTTGATTATCAGCCACACAGAGTGCATCTCGCGTCGCAGACCATGTTGTCGAGAGGAAATACTGGTATATATATTCAACTAAATGAGTGGATGCTAGAAGATTTCTAACAAAACAAAGTCATACGAAATGAGATGTCGCGATTCAATAGATAGTGCCCTTATACTGATGACGGACACCACAACTGTCCTTATACATTGTCCGTTTGGTCCGGATTTTCTGTCTCTATTTCCACTTTTACCCAATCAGACTCATCAGCACGCTCCGAGTCAGTCACGCTCGATGCCCTTACGGAATCATTGGGTTGGGGTTCCATTTCGACCCTGAAGTTGTGACTATCTTGAGTAGCATCGACTTCACCGAGAACTTGCGTATCTGAAGTAGCATGTGTAAAAATATCCACAGAATAGATTTGGAGTCCAGGAACACCGGTACTTGTTGCAAGTTCTCTAGCCTTATCGGGGTCGTCGGGGTAACAGTCAGTCCAAGGAATCACCGATACATCCCGCAGCGCAAATGAAGACTCCGGCCGTTCAGAGGCGCTAGGAATCTTGCGGGAGCAGGGGAAGTCGATGTCAGTGTCCCCAGTTGCTGCAGTATCTTTGGTCTCTGCAAGAGGCAGAGTGCGGGATTCTGCCACCGTGGGGGTACCAACAGCACTCAACGAGACAGACCGCAAAGCTTTGCAATCCGTATCTTTGCGGGGTGGAGTTGGAGAAAGGCCAGAAACTTGGACGAATGGTGCGCCAAAATGGTACTGATTGCTGTTCTTTTCCAATGTTTCTCCTGTCTCGCTGAACTTAGTTTCGATCCATGGAGGAAGACCAAATGTCACGTTTATGCCGCCGTAGCTCTCGGTAGAGTCATGGATACCATCATCAGACTTTCTCTTACTAGATGCTGTTTTTGCTGTGTAATATTCACGAACATTCTCGTCGAACGGCGGAAGGCCGTGGTTTGCGTCTATGCCCTCGTGAATTCCAAACTTCAGCAGATCCTCCTCAGTCCACTTCTCAAGGACAGAACTTGCGGGCACGTCCTTGCTAATGTCCCAAATTCCCAATGGAGATGTGGACGTGTTGGCGTACGGCCCACTGCACTGTCCAGGACTCAAGTCTCCCAGATCGGGGTTGGCATCAATATGGGGTTTATAGATCTGTCCACTGCCAATGTCGAGTTCATGAATATCAGATGCCAACTGAGCAGGAGCTTTCTTGAAGTTTTCAGTCGTGGATATTTTGTGAGAAGGGGCAACACCCGATGAAGCTGCGGGCAACGGTTCATTGGAGGGAATGCCATGCCCATGATGGGGTGGAGTTGAAAGAACACTGATTTCCTCTGATCAGCATGTTCTAAGTCTGATACTTTGCTACAGCCGATTATATCTTACCTAGAGGAGTCTTTCTTGTGACCTGATTTTCTCATCCCTTTCATCCACAAACCTTCGTCCTGCGCCTCGTCTTGGGAGACAAGAGTGGCAGGGCGCGTTTCGGGAGCGGTTGGCACCTGGTTGGAAAAGGGTTGGGGCATCTTGTTACGTATTAAAACAAAAGGGTTCTTTGAAATGGGTTTATGGTTTAAGTCTTTGGGGTTCTGTTGTTCAGTTGCACGGTTCAATATGGTAAACAAACAGATTCTGCTCTGCCAGAGGTAGGCTTTATATAGGCGTTCGAGCCATTTTCTGTATACAATTCGTTCCGTCCTTCTCTCCTACGGGAACATAGCGATACTTTCGCAATCCAAGTCAATACACTCAGCTAAATCAAACCAAACTATCCAGAATAAGAGCTTGACCGAATCGATGCCAGCAGACTGTCTCTAGTTCGATATTTCCGCCAACAGCTCTTCTGCAAGCCACATCACCGCGGATGTTACATCCCTTGCCGATGCTGTTCACTTGCTCTCAGCTCCTGGCTCCTGGCTCCTGGCTCCTGGCTCCTGGCTCCTGGCCCTGGCTCCTGGCCCTGGCTCCCTCACCTACTCCAGCCCATGACTACTCCATTGCATATTCTATGATATCAGATCTCAGAATCCCCAGTTTGAGCTATTAAAGGTACAAGTTTATCTTATGATTAACTATTTCTTAAGTAACCTATGTGCTTAGGTAATATTTCCAATACAGACAACCAATCTGCAGCCGTAGATGTTACACGGAGACCAGATGCAGGCCGTGACGCTCAGAATTACCAAAAAGCGAGTGTTTTATGCAGCGTATAAAGAAAATTGCAGATTTGCGATCGCAACTCATGGCTTTTCTTTACCGGTACCGTCACAGGGACCACAGTCAAAGCCCCCGCGCTTTCCAGTGCCGTTACACATCGTACAGTCAGCCATTTTCGGCTATAGAGGCTTGGTAGAATCTCCGAACCCTACTTAATGTCAATATCCGTGCTCTGTGGGTGAGAATGACGTACGAACGTATTATCTGTATCTTTCGGAAGTTATAAGTCTTTTCTTGAGAATTTAGTGGTCTTGCGAAAATGGTCGTTGGGCAAAGCAGAATTTTACGCGATGCCTGATCACATGCCCTTTTTGGCACGTGACCACAGCCCATGTCTACCTTGGTGGCCCGGGCTCTCTTCGTGTTCCTCTTTCGACACGAAACCTTATATTTTTCATTATGGATCTTACTCAGTGCCCGGGCCCACCGGCCACGGATACGGATGAATTACGACCTCAACTCCGCAAATTTCTGGTTAGTCTTAGTCGAATACTTTCGGATTGATCAAGCTAACACTATTGCAGGCTCGATTTCAGGAGATCCAGTCGCGTATTGACGATATTCAGTCTGCTGTGTCTGAAGTTCAGTCCAACACCCAGAATCTTCTCGTGGATGTCCAACAATTCTTAAGCCATGACAACACGAAAAGCGATGATACGATACCAACTAGCAAAACGTGTGTGCCTCGAGCAAAGCAGCGATTAAGTTTCAGAAATGCAGAATTGCCAAGCAAAAATGCCGTCTTCTTGGCGGAATGCCCGCATCCGGACTGTGCCAACAAAATAAAGACTCAATTCAGTCGTCGGAAAAACCTCAAGCGACATTATATGTCACGTACATACCCATTCTTTTCCCTAGGCGACGACTTGCGCTTACATGGTTTTAGACCTGACAATCAACGAACCTTGTCTCTTTTGTAAGCACGAGATCACGGATGTGCTGTTTTACGTGACACATTTTAACACGTGCTCAACGAGAAAGAAGCAAGAGAAGGATGGCGTTCTTCATACTGGGCTAGGCATCGAGGCAAATATGAAGCGGGAGAAATTTCTCAAGATGGCCGATAATCAGCTTGATAGGCATCTTTTCGAGTCAGGCATGGTAGCTTTCCGTGCGTCAGCGCGAACGAAGAGGCGACGAAACGTGAATGGAGTGACTGAAGGATCTCGCAAAGAGAGGGTAATAGCCCAACCGGAAACTGACGTTCCTGTGGAACAGAGTACGTTTCTATTTCTCCCACCTGACCACCAATGCTCAAGAAAGTTTGGGGCAACTGTATGAATGGGAAGCCTTTTGCAGCTACTGATGTGAATAGTTCATACTTATCTACCTTCAAACGAGCAAGGAATTATTTGCACTCAAACAATCGAGGAAGGTGAGCAAGGCCACAGCTTCTCAAGCGGCCACGGAGTTAATTACCCAGTACAGGACACGAAGCAAGACCTGGTTCGCCAGGGGTGCAACAGCTGTCACCGACTACGGAGCGTAGTGAACGCCATCCGCTTTCAGAATTCACAGCTATATCACAAACCACATGGAATGATACATCTGGATTGAACTGCCACGACTACAACGGCGCTCTCCCTCTGCGAGCACCTTTTGGCGCTTCCTATACAATGGACGACTCATATGGCGACATCTCTTTCCCGCTACGAGCACCTTTCGGTGCTTCTTATACAATGGACGACCCATATCATGAAGAAACAACCACTTCAACTCAGCCCCAAACGACAAGTAAGCCGTTCCATGACACCCTTGCTCTGGATGCTTTCGTAGGCCCGTATCAAACAAATAAGGCTACTTTCCCGGTACAAACCCCGTGTTCTGACTCATACGGTATGAACGAGCCGTTAGACCAGTTCCATTTGGCGCCGGCGTTGTATGCAGACAGCAGCACCGCAGCGTAATACAGGCTCATCCGCAGCAGCGCTTTCCACGTACAAGCATTAAGCTTACATCAGACGGCGGATGTGGGCATCACAATACTTTGAATAGACCGTGGTATCGTACTGTTGTACAAGTCGTGGTTTTTATAGCAGGGCAGGATCACCGTTCGTCGATGTCGGGTTCGGAGTCTTGTAACTTAAAATTTAACCCAATTGTGTCGGTCTGCATCGACCTCGCTTTGTCCATGAGTGCTTCAGTCGGTAAACGCATTTTAGCCCAGTATTTCGACTCGTCAGGTATCATGAACCCAAGCATGATGATCTTCCCTCGTAGAATCTTAAAAGCCGACCGTCCATCCAGAATAGCTCTACAGGCGCATTAGCTTCCGTATTAGTGCTCTAGGGAGCAATACTTACAAACCACCCTGTGGCATTACTTCGGCTGTTGGTGTGATGTTAGGGCGTTTAAGATGGTCATCAGGGATCATCAATAGACCATTTGGTGCATTTGTTGCACCCAGTGATTGAAGATGCGATCCGGAATAAACGATTGCTTCCGATGCACTCGACCACAATTGAACGACTAGAATTCGCAACTCCGGTGTTTTGTTGATTATACTATGGTTGAATCTAGTTTGGCCGTACGCTTTGAAAAATGCCAGCTCCGATCGAGGAAAGAAAGACTCGATCACACCGCGGATAAGCTGAAGCACATTAATATAGCTCGCCACACTAGCCGGGAAGTACATTACTCACAGGTTCTTCTAAAGCGAAGCGACATAAATCTAGACCTTCTTCAGTCTTGAAACGAAACCCACCCTTCACGATTTCGTCAACAAGTTCACCAATAATCGGGTTTTCCAGTGCCCAAAACCCGTTCTCAACTACAAACTGCCGCCCTTGTTCCGATGTTGTCGAAGCCATGGCCAGCTAACTACCTTTGTTGAATCGGATCATCACTCGACAATCCCAGAGGACCATTTAACGCCGACGATGACCCTTGGGACTTCAACGGGTAAAGCTCCGATCGTGTTTGCTGCATGCGGGTTTCGCTCGTGTTCGATAGAAGAGGGGTTTATCTTAGAATCATGGTTTTGACTTGAGTGGGTAATTGGTACACACCCCCGTCACGGCAAAATTGCGGAGGTAGCCAGGAGCTAGAGCCAGGAGCTAGGAGCCAGGAGCCAGGAGCCAGGAGCGTTGCCAGGCAATCGTACTTTATCGCGTACCCAGGATACATGGCCATGACGTCATATTGACTCACGAGGTTAAATCGCACATACGTATCAAAGACTGTCGCCCGGGACGTATGTCACATGGAGTTTAAGTGCTTAGGCGCCTGACTCTAAACCAAGATTTCAGGCGCATATACATGGTCACATGCAAAGGTTCTTGGACCCCAACGATCAAACACAGGTTAATGTCCAAGAACTTGTGTGCAACAATTCGCACGATACAGTATAGCGCTTACATATTCTGTTTCACGACAAGACTTACCAGTTGACATACCACAACACCGAAATCTGCAGAATTAATCAGTGTAAGGCTCTTGCAATATCGATATAGGTACGGTATTGTAACCGTAGGCCAGCCTATTCCAATGCCGCAGAGTGGACGAAGGTGTAACGGGTAGTGCGGGGAGCCCATTTCACTATATTGTCACGTGAATTCCTTATTTGGAAGATCAGGTGGCACAGTCGAGCAGATGCGGAGCAATGCGGCGTATATAATAACACCCTTGCCAGCATATAATTTTTTTGATTTTGTTTTTTAGACAACCATCAAACCGAGATCAAAGACAGCACTGTTTCCATGAAACACTTCATTTTCCCGACTGTCGCAACCATGGGAACGTGTCAGAACTGTGGTGGATCAGGGAAGAAAGGCGGAATGGACTGTGGTCATTGCGACGGCATAGGCAAGGAGCAGTCTTGAGGACCAGCAGCCGCATCCCTGCATTTCAGTGGCATGCATTGGCTGCGGCGATTTCCTTTTGAGCACACTCAAGGCATTATCGAGGTGTTCAAGCGCAAAATGGAATGAGTTGGTTCAGAGTTGTGTCGTGCCGAACACCATGGCTGATGGCTGAGGGAATTGGATGGCTGCGGGAATTCTTCTGACTTCAACACATTTGGAACGGATAGCATGCACCATGGTTCGCCTGCTGCCTCGTCCCACCCTCCCGTACAAGATTTTGTAGCTTTGATTTGCTAGTTCCCTGCATTCATGCAACTCATGGTATTGACTGCGTTATAACTCTGCGACTCCCCGTAGACGCCGCCCCTGCGGTTTTTGGATGACGCTCCTCAGTCACTCAAAGCATTGGTCAGCGTGGCTTGGCGTCTTCCAGGCCGTACTGGGTGCCTAGGGGTCGGGTTACATTTACTCACCTACCTACGCATGACGGGCTGAGATAGGAATGGACAGGTTACATGACCAGTCGATGCCGGCCTCTCGTCGGCCTAAAGGCATTTTGCGAACCACTATGACTTACGAACACGCATGGTAAGTATTAACGCAGCAGTTCGAAGGTGAGACCAATCCGAGAACTATTGGCCTGTATTAAGTTAAGCAGCAAAATTTAGGCTCCAAGATGTACAGCAGGGCAACTGTACCCCTTGCGTACAAATAGAACTACATTCGCCCGATAAAGAGCCTTCTACCCATGTCCTCATCCTATACCAACGCGTTCTATGCTCTTAGTCCAACAACCAAGAAAGTAAGCGAGACAAAGAAGTCTATGGGGCAATGTTAACCAGTGCCCAGCTCTCGATATGTCAGACAAAGGCAACTCGAACTCGTCGTCTGGTGTGCAGAAGGGAACCGCAACCCAGCAGCCCGTTTTCGGGTTTTCGATGACAGGGAAAGAGGCGAAACAGCTGTCATCATCCGGCCAGGCCGCAAAAGATGCTAGGAAGAACACAGCATCTCAACCAAGACCTCCGACCCCTCCACGAAAGCAAAGCAGTGGCGGAACGTGACTAAGTGCACCCGGCAGGTCTGAATCAAATATCTTCATGTAAAGTCGGTGAAAACTGCATTAAGTCTCTCCAAATACGTGTCTCGGTCTTGCAGTTTCTTGTCAATGATGTCACAGATGTTAGGGCGCCACAGACGGGCAAAGAATCTATAATCGGCCTTGCTTAGTTCTTCCGGAGAGTAGGAGAAGTAGCTGGGTAATATACGATCGTAGAATATCTCCGTGAAGGCTACTGGATCCTTTACCGCTAGCGTGACCCAAAACGCCCCGTTTGTCCATGCTTGCTGCATGATACACGAGAGGGGCTCTGCATCTCTTCGGTAGTTCTGAAGCTGTTCTTCTCGCTTTAGGAGCTCGAGGAATGCAGCATGTTTCGGTGCGAACTCGATAGGTTCAATCTCGTCGATTAATCCACCGCCGAGCCAGTATGGCGGTTGTAGAAATTCGATGGGCGATGAGCAGGCAAATTCTAGGTCAATGATGCAAGTAATATTCCAGTCCTCATCAACGAAGATGTTACTTCGATGTATATCGGTTAAAGTAAACACGAAAGGGCCGTAAAAAAAGTCTCTCCGGAACATTTGCGGGAATATAGCTCTTGCGGCAGCTAGACTGGTCATCTGGTACCACGCATCGTCACGGCTAGTTATGGCGTTTTGCTGGTAGAGTAGCCGGTTGTCAAAAGCCGCCAAATGCTGAAGGATGAAGTCATCGACGCTAGAGAAGGTTGTGTGTCTGGAAATATTAAGGGGGATGCCTTCGTTCTCATGCATAGTAAACATAACATTCAGAGGACGATTATCTAAATGCAAATACCCGTTGTTGTCCAGTCGGAATGCTCCGATACGCGCCAGGGGAACGCTTGCAAGCGAGAGCATCATCCTAGCGAGACTTCGCTGTAGATTATCTTGGAGACGGACATCGTCACGCTTCTCATCCCAGGATTCTGAAAGCATCTCTCCGGAAGTAATGGTTTGGATAAGCAGGTAACCGATATCGAGGTCGGCAAAGCGGCTAGAGGGATGGCACACGTATCGTGAAGGCTGCGGGAAGCCAAAAGTAGCTAGAAAATAGCGGCGAGCTTGCTGGAACCAGCGCGACCACCACGGAAGGAAGTCAAGATTCGTAAACTACATGGGGATAACATGGTTAGAAACTTAGCATTTAAAAGTTGAGGCACTTACTCTTTGGTTAGTAGACAGCCCAAAGCCGTAAAGCTGGGGTATAGGAACTGCAGGGCAGTTCTCTTGGAGCCAAGCGTATGTTGCAGCCTCACAATTGACCTTCTCATCCGAGTTGCCGGGCCGTACTACTTCTCCAACGCGGTACGGCAACGGAAAGCGGAGCAACACGAACTGTGGGGGTGCTGACTTCGCAGAGGGGTCGATATGGACAGGTATACAAAGATTGAATGATCCATGGCGCCAGTAATCTTGCGAAGAAATAGTAACGTCCGTTGGTTTGGTGCCAAGGTGATGTGCTACGAGATCAGCCAGAAGAGGACGATAGGTCTCCATGCGCTTGTAGAAATTTTCCTTCTGCTGCGGGTATTCCAGAGCGTGAAGAACATTTCTGCTTTTCGCTGTTGCGGCAGATAGAGTGACGGGACCGGAGAGTAGATTGCGAGTCGTCATGGCGGGCGGATGGCTTAAGAAAAGGAGTAAGAAAAAGTCGGTTGCTCGAAGATATCTAATATTGCTGACTCAGGCTCGTCGGCTCGAAATCAGGCACCAAGAATTTGCTAGGCGGCAGGATCGGGTTAAATTATAGGTTTCTGTCAGGGGGCCACTTGGACAAGTGGCCATTTGGACAGGGGGTCGGCGACCGCTGTTAGCGCCTCCGCGGGGTCGCTAAGATCTCACCGCTAGAATTTCACAGAGCGAACGTAGGTACCCACGTACATACTGTTGAGCCGCTCATTTACAGAAGGTTTGCCATAACTCGTGTCACTCTCGTGGTCCTCCTGTCGGGCAGTAGTCCACAAGAGAAGCAAGAGCGCGTTCCAGCTGAAGGATGCTTAGAATCTGCTAACAGAGCTCATATGTTCACTACCTCCTACCTAGTCCAATTCGCCCTTCTTCGTGTACGCAGCCTAACTTTCTCCTCTCCCGCTCCCATGCGACGTGGCCGAATTTTCTGATCACCAAGTCTTTCGCCTCCTCGATTGCCTGTTCCCCACGCACAAATCGGTTGTAAGCTGGGCAAGATACTTCGGCATGGACAGATTCGTACTCTCATCTGGTGAGCCCTCGCGTTCACGCGGTACCTCCTGCCCATTGACAAGCTTTTCATACTCAGAAAAGAGAGAATGAAGACGGTCAGCGTCCAAGGGCGTGGGTACGGGAGTTCTCTCGGGTTCCTCCTGCCCAGCAGCTACCGGCTGCACGGTGGAGGGAGTTGAAAAGCCCGAGCCGATGTCGAGCTTCTCATCAGTAGATTTCGAGGGGAGCTCGTCAGAGTCGCTGAAGAAATTGCATTCATCGTCATCGATGCCGTCGCAGCTGCTCAGGCTGCTGGGTGACGATGCAATTGTTATCGCGGAATCCCAAGAGGGACAAGGTGACAAACATGAGTGATTTTGAGTCTTGAGCGTTGGGCTCGTCTGTGTCATTATGATTCTGTCCATCACGCACTATGCTAGTCGAAATCATAGGAAAGAAAAAGAAGAGGTGCATGTTGACCAGACGCTTCGAGTCGATCGTGCCCGAGTCGTTTATCCTTTATATAGGCGGAACCCAAGCCATTAACCGCAGCGTTAACTGGGTAAGGACGCAAAAGCTTGACCCGAACTGTCTTCCCAGATTCAATCGGCTCGGCTAACCCAATGGTGCGTGTGTGAGCCTCCCAGCCATTCATCCAAGTTCATGAATGGTCCTGGTATGGTCGCTCGCCCCATGCTGAATCTTGTCATTATTCCATTTCCCCCGCCCAAAGAATTCGCATTCTTGTAGTGGTGCTCACTGCTCCACTCCCTACTTCCCCGCCCGCTCTTCCTTCTCTGTCCACCAGGAATCTTCGATGCAGCTAGGCCTCGCCGTGGATGCGGCCAAGAGTCCTCCTGCATCATTCAGCAACGGTAACCTCAGATAACGTATCATCAAAACCTTCGGTGACACATAATGTGGCGCGAAGTCGAGGAGCCGATAATCGAACGATCGCTCCTCAGCCTGTCGTTCAGTAGAAGACAGTCAGCCTCCGACATTCCGCAAACTGGAAGCATTCAGCCAATGCAAGGGAAGATACCAACCAATACGACATCGACGATTCGAGCGAAGCGGCGCGGCGAGATCGACACAATGGATACACTGTAAAAGGACACGGCCGCAGGTCGTGGACCTACGTCGGACGTACTCTGGCATGCTTGGGCCGTGGTATGAGAGCATGGCAACGTGGGCGAACCAATTGGCCCAATGTTCCTAGCCGACTCGAAGGTCAGCTGAAAAGCGTGAGATGACGGAACCAGATGCCCCGGCCAAGCCTCACGCGTCTCGTGAGACACCCGGATAAGGTAAATCTTGCTAGACAATGGGAAGGCTTAGTCGCCTCGACAGCCCCCCAAACCTGACTGCGAGCGTTGAAAATCCTTCGGAACACGCCGAGCACTGGAGGCAACCGCCAGGTCCCTGGAGGCAACCCATCACGAGAGCTGGTCATCACAAACAGGCCATCTTTGCTGGATTTTCCGATAAGAGAAGCACGTCGATAAGCCCCAGTGTTTGTAGAGTTAGCAAATGCTTCTAGGTTACCCGGCAGCAGGTCGTAGATTTATAGATTTGATAGATGGTAGAGAACAGAGGAGCGTTTCTGGGTGACAGGACGCGAGAATTCGTATCGTGATGATCTTAGCGGAGCGGGACGGCAGCAGCTGAGAGGAGGAGACGTGCATCAAGGACATGGAGCTGCGACAGGAGGCGGAGCCTGTTGAGCCCAACAATGATGTGGCCAGCGCGACCAAAGCAATGGCGGCTTGCGACGCCAAGAGAAATGTGGGAATCGACAGGGTCAATGGAACAAAGGAGGTCGAGAAGAGAAAAAAAAGGGAGTTGGCTTCGGTGGTCTTATAGATTTGTCTAAAGCAGCGGGATGTGGAAAGTGGGCCGCGGGGGCGGCGCCTCACCCGCGCGGGCAGGCGGTCGAAAACGGCAGCGAATTTGCAACGACTTTACCATACTGCGTGAAACTATTTAACATTACCTTTATCACTCCTCACAAATCCGCTATCCTCGACTTGCAAGTGGCGCAAGTAGTCATACGCGCGAGTAGTCATGGCTTGGATTCCTGCAAATTTGTCAGGAGGTAGGTAGGGCCCGTAACCTTGCTTTGGGTCATACGGACTGACCGAGTTCGTGTGATTTCACCTCCATAGCTCAATCTCTCAGACTTTCCAGAAGCCCTCTTTTACACTATACCGGCATGATGGCACAAACTACGGGAGTCTGTTCCTTTATTGATCGTCCGTAGACTTTGGAGGAGGTGATACATATCCCGTCCGATTCTGAGTCTGACACAGATAGTGATGCCGAGGTTGTGGGACAAGATATCCCGTCGGTGCCCTTAGTACAAAATCAACATCATGACGACTCGCTTCCTTCTATCTCTGAGATTGTGGCGTCTCTGACATGCACTCTCCTATGAGATTGTTCGTGGTGCCAGCAAAGTACCTGTGCTTGCCCTGATAAGTCTTCGTCCCAGCAAGTGATAAGAGTTTGTGTAACCCTCCCATGGCTGTGCTTTGAACAGTGCCAAAAATTGTGCCAGCAGTACTGCAGACTGCATTCTCGGCACAGTTCATACATCCCATTTTTGTTAGTTTGTCTTATATGGCGCGAGATCGGAATTTAGCCTCTGCCCCATGCATTGGACCTATTAGGAAGCCACCCTTAATCGTGCCCGCGCCGATTCCCGTAGGGAAGTATAAGTTAAGGCGATTCTTGGTCTTCCGTAGGCTTTGGGCGCTGACGCGGCACTTTTAATGGCAGCTTGATTGACATTATTGCCAATATTCTTCCGGTCGACAGTGTGTAAAGTTCCCCTCATGGCGTGTCTTGCATCCGAGGAATATTAGCTGCTGAAACTCTAGAGTTGGTCCGTAAGGGGGATAACAAATGAGAAGGGCCTTCAGATACAAAGGTGTGTCTTGCCGCTAATCACATAGGCAGCCCTCAACTATCGGAGAGAAAACATGCATGGAGGAGAGAACAAGCTTGAACTTCCGAGCCACCTGCAAGACTAACCCACACTCTATTTCATCCGGAGTCAATAGTGAAGCCACGTACAATTTGATTTGTCAACTTGATAGTCTGAGTCAAATGGTGAGACACGGCCAGCAATCGCCGACCTTAATGGCCTTGAAACACTTATGTACACCGAGGCAGAGCATGTGTCAGACCACCGTGGGTTCACAAAAGATTGAGTATAATGGCGCTGAAGGCGCCAATTGTGTTAAATGAGAATTATCTAAAGAACAAATGAAAGATGGAATGAACGCGCTATTTATCTTGTGACCAGCTTCGCCGATTCGGAGAAGCTGTAGCAAGGAGTCGTTTCTAATACCTGCAGTACCACATCGCGGCAGTGCAAAAAGCAATGACTTGCCCCATTTGGGAGGAAATTAATGTCGATCCACCCCACCAGACTCAATTCATTTCCCAGCCATGTCATTCATTTCACAACTATGGTAATCCCATTACACTGTGTAGATGGCCAGCCGACTTCAATAGTTCGGGCGTGGTGGGGTGACGTTAACCACCACCGCCATGTTGTTATTGAGAACCACCTTCAAGAACTCTTGGCTAACCACGCAGGTCCGCGGCGGGCGAGACTCGAATCACGATGAGGAAGAAATCGGGACGAGACCCTAGATCTTTTACAGTGAGTGTTTCCATCATCTCCCGTTGGACCAGGTGCTCTGTGTCATGGGCTCACTTCCAAGAAAGTCAAGCCAAAAATTCTGTATATGACCCAAATCTCTAGCGCCACAATGACGAATAAATTCGACTCGCTAATAAGACATAGTTCAGCATGCCGTTCGAGTCGTGGATGAGCACGACAGTACAGATACCTTTTCATATATCTATTGAGTTGAATGGGCAGATATGACAACCAATTTTAGTCCATCTTTCCTAAAGTATGGACGCTAGCGAGCCAGTATGCTTTTACCGCCGTCTTCTGAGAGTCTCGCGCGAATTTTGACCCTAACATGAGATTGTCCCAATACATTTGGCTGAAAATCATCATTCATGCTTCCTTTGATCGGCGCACTCGGACAAAATATCAAGGCTTCCCCCGTGCTAAGACTTACTATGGTCTCAAATATATCATAGATGGATTCTCCCAACAACCTGCTATCTTCATGCTCGGCATCAGATCTTTTTCCAACAGTTATGGCTATGCGAGCTCGCAGAGCTCTGAGCCACGCAGGTGAACTGAAACGATGTATGATTGTGGTTGAACATAGATCTAGAAGAGCTGGCGCTATGGTGGGCTCTTGCGACGATACAATTACCCGAACCCCGAGGTGCCGCTGTAATCGGACAGCTGACAGCAGTGTGTTCGTCAACGTAAAAGACTCTGGAGAAGTAGACATGTACTAAAGTTGCAAATGTAATGTCAGGTGCCATTCTTTGGTCTTCAGCGTTAGAATACTCACCTTGTGTGCTTCGTCAAGAGCTACCACCCGGCCGCAATTGATTTCTTGCTCTAGAAAGATGCTCAGGCAGACATTAAACAAGGAGCATGCCGTTGCCGGTGTAATACAGGGACAAGAGAGGTCGACTATAGTGAGCAGGCCAGGCTGTGTTGATGTTAGTACAGGTTGATGAGCTTTGAGGAGTACTTACCTCGCTTGCCCAGTTTGACCCTGGTGGAGCCTTTGGGCCTTTCCCCTTTCTTTTTGGTGCCGCTAACGGCATGAAACTCTCCAGTACCGACAGCCGCTGGCCGAGTGGTGCAAGTTGAGAAGGCGTTAAATCAGAGGATAGAAGCAACGACTTAAATTTGGTGTAGCTAAAACGCTCTCCTGAAACTTGCTGGGCTATGCGCATTTCCCTCAAGATACGGTGAATAACATATATGTAAAGAGGAGCCGCCGCATCGTCTTGGTTTACTGCCATAAGATCCAACATACGTTTGGTATTGAGATCCTTGCTGTCAATTTGCAACGGCTCTATATCAATATTCAGGCGGGCGTATGTATCCTGTTAATGATATCAATAACCTCTGAGATCTTCAAAACTAGTGGGGAAGGTGAAGCTCACCCGGATAGTGGATAGATTAGAAGGTGAGCATAGCACACGGGCTCTGATACCACGCAGTGACGCAAGAAATGCCGCCTCACATGGGGATCCACCGTCATCTGATATAAATGCATCATAGTGAAAGACCAAGGCTGTGAGTGGTTTTTGAAGGTCAGCAGCATCAGAGTCCGTAAGACAATTCTCTAGCAGGCAAGACAACGTATGGCTTTTCCCCGAGCCTTGGGACCCGCAGATGAAGGTACTTGAGGGGGCCATCGTATTGTAGAATAGGCGAGAACTGGACCGCACGAACTCGCCGTCAGGTTGAATGGAGCTGCTACCATTTTCACATACTATAGATCCGAGAAGTCCATAT